CAGACAATAAGGGTAGCAAAGCAGAAAACGAGCCTTCCAATGCCTTGTCTAGTGCAAATCCCTCTTGACAGAATAGAATTTGAATGAAATGAATGAATGTGTGTGTAAGACATGCATTTGTTTTTATCTTTCATAAAAAGCATTCAGGTTTAAAATAGAGAGCAAAGTATTCTTAGTTTTCTAAGTTAAAAATATTTGAGTTGTGGTCATGATATTTGCCTTTCTCTAACCATGCTTGAGAACTCCATAAATCACACTTCTGCAATATGTGTAAATTAAGGGATACAGCCAATAAGACCACACTGTAAAAAGAGAAGCCACAGGTAGTTCCATTTGTTTAACTTGTTGGGGGATGGTTTGAAAATAGCATTTAAAAAGGGGCGCCTGGGTGGCTCAGTCGTTAAGCGTCTGCCTTCGGCTCCAGTCATGATTCCAGAGTCCTGGGATCGAGCCCCGCATCGGGCTCCCCTGCTCTGTGGGGAGCCTGCTTCTCCTTCTCCCTCACTTGTGCTTTCTAGCTCTCTCTCTGTATCACTCCAAAAAATAAATAAAATCTTAAAAAAAAAATAGCATTAAAAAAAAAATGGGTCCAGCAGAGAGAGGACCAAGAAATTCCCTATACTGGACGTGATATTCAGAAGATTTGGCTTAGCATACCTTGATTCAGAAGTGCGTTCCTAATGGCACTGGTTCATCTCCAGCCTTCACTGGGGCCGTCAGCGAACCACCACCCCTCCTCCCCGGAGGGAACCGTGCTGGTGCATTGGCTGCTTCTGATCAGTAGTTCCCTTTATAGAGTCAGCAGAGTTCAGGAGCCATAAGAGAATTAAAATAGGGAAAATTTCAAAACTGGAAAACAAATTTAACATTTTTTAGGTATACAGTGTGTGGATTCAGGGTGGTTAATCCAGTGATGCCTGACTGCAAACTCTTTTACATTTCACATTTATTTTGGATTGAAACAGAGAAGCTTCGTTTGTCCAATATATAAATATATTTTTTAGAAAGAAAGACTGTTATAAGTTATTTATGGAGGTACCACAAAATGCCACACAATTTCTACCTAAAACTTCGCAGCAGCTCCCTTGTAAACAAATGGTAACCATGGGAGCCACGAATTTGGCTTCAGCATATGATTTTCTGACATACTACTAATAGGTATGATATAAAGGTCAGGCATTCTAACAATGTAAACCAGTCAGGGGCCCTTTTTTAAATATACGTAAATAACAATTTTTCTTTATTGTAGTAACCTAAACCTCACCATTCTAACCATTTTAAAGTGTACAGTTCAGTGGCATTCAGCATATTTACAGTGCTGCATGACTATTATCACTATCTAGTTCTGGAACATCTTCCTCACCCCAGAAGGAATCCCTTGTACCCATTAGGCATTTTCCCATACCCCAGGCCCTTGGCATCTCCTAATCTGCTTTTGGTCTCAATGGATTTGCCTCTTCTGGATATTTCATATAAACAGAATTATAATGTATGGCCTTTTGAGTCTGCTTTCTTGTTTTTAAGGTTCATCCATGTTGTAGTATGATCAATATTTCGTTCAGTTTTATGGCTGAATAGTATTCCATTGTATGGATATGCCACAATTGTTCATCAGTTGATGGACTTTTGGCTATTGTGAACAGTGCTGCTAGGAACATTCGTGTACAAGTTCTTATTTGAACAGAGTTTTCCAATTCTTTCGATATATACTTCTGAATGGAATTTTCAGTCTTACGGTAATTAAATGTGTAACTTATTGAGGTACTGCCAAACTGTTTACCACAGAGGGTGCACCATTTTACATGCCCACCAGCATTGTACAGGGTTCCAATTTCTCTCCTTCCTTACCAACACATGTTGTTTTCAGGGTTTTTTATTGTAGCCATCCTAGTGCATGTGAAGTGATATTCCATTATGGTTTTGATTTGCATTTCCCTAATGACTAATGATGTTGAGCATTTTTTCACATGCTTATTGGCCATTTATATATTTTCTTTGGAGAAATGTCTGTTCAAGTCCTTTGCCCCTTTTATTTATTTATTTATTTATTTATTTATTTATTTATTTATTTTTATTTATTTATTTAACACACAGAGAGAGAGAGAGAGAGAGAGCGCGCGCGCACAAGTAGGCAGAGAGAGGGAGAGGGAGAAGCAGGCTCTCCGCCGAGCAGGGAGCCCGATGCGGAGCTCGATCCCAGGACCCTGGGATCATGACCTGAGCCGAAGGCAGCCGCCCAACCGACTGAGCCACCCAGGCACCCTGTCCTTTGCCCCTTTTAAAAAAGCCTTGTTTTTTTCATTGTTGAATTGTAAGGGGTCTTTGTATATTCTGGATACTAGACATTGATCATACATATGATTCACAGATATTTCTCCCATGCTGTGTGTTGTCTTTTCACTCTCTTGATAATGTCCTTTGATACACAAAAGTTTTATATTTTGATGTTCGGTTTATCTGTTTTTTCTTTTGTTGCTCATGCTTTTGGTGTCATAGCTAAGAAACCATTGCCAAATCCAAGGTCATGAATATAGATCCCTATATTTTCCTTTAAAAGTTTTATTAGCTCTTATATTAAGGTCTTTGATTGATTTTGAGTGAATTTTTGTTTACAGTGTGAGGTAGGGGCCCAACTTCATTCTCTTGTCAAATACTTTTTCTGCTTCAATTGGAGTGATTATGTGGCTTTTCTTCGTTGTATTAATGTGGTATATTAGTTGCCTCGAGCTGCCATAACAAAGTACCATAGACTGAATGACTTAAGACAACAGAAGTTTATCGTCTCACACTTCTGGAGACTAGAAATCCACGGTCAAGGTGTCAGCAGGGGTGGGTCCTTTCAGAGAGGTTCACCCAGATAATCTGTTCTATGCTTGTCTCCTAGCTTCTGGTGATTGCCAGTGATCCCTGGCATTCCTTGGCTTATAGGTGATAACTGCAATATCTGTCATCATCTTTTTTTTTTTTTTTAATCTGTCATCATCTTTACATGGTATTTTCCTCTGTGGATCCCTATGTGTCTTTTTGTCCTAATTTTCTTCTTCTTATAAGGATACTAGTCACAGGATTAGGGCCCACCCTAATCCAATATGACTTCATCTGCATTTGATTATGTCTGTAATAAGGTCACATTTATAAGTACTGAGGGTTAGGAATTAAACATTCATATTTTGAGGGGACACAGTTCAACCCCATGCATGTGGTGTATGACATTGATTGATTTTATTATATTGAACCTCCTTTATATTTCTAGCATAAATTCCACTTGTTGATGGCATATAATTCTTTTAATAGGATGCTAGACTCAGGTTGCTTGTATCTTATGGAGGATTTTTACATCTTTAGTCATAAAGTTCTCTTGTCATGTCTTTCTCTGGCTTTGGCATCAGGGTAAGGCCAGCCTCATAGAGTGAATTAGGAAGCGTTCCCTTCTCTTTTATTTTTTGGGAAGAATTTGAAATGGACTGGTGTTAATTCTTCTTTAAAAGTTTGTAGAATTTACCAGTGAAGTCATTTTGTCCTGGGCTTTTCTTTGTTGGGAGGTTTTTGATTACCAATTCAATTCCCTCATAGAAATTTCAAAAAAATCATTAAGAGACTACTATGAATACTATGAATAATTGTAGTGTAATCTAACCAATAAATTAGATAATGTAAATGAAATGGACAAATCCCTAGGAACTTACAAACTACCAAACTGACTCAAAAAGAAACAGAAAAATCTGACTCCTGGACAAGCTCGCCTGTCACACGATAAACCCAGAAATCTAATGTCATGTGCACTTCCTTTGAACCTTCACAGCCCTTCCTTCCCCTCTCATAGGGCCTTAACATCTTTGGGTATTTTTTTCTTTCTTCATGATTGCTGGGCTGGAGAAACGCTGAGGGCTCAATCTTATAGCCTCCACTTATCCCCATAACCGATCCTTGTCCATAGTGTGTTTAGAGGATGCACTGTTGGAAGTATGGGATGGTGCAGGGGGCCTGGTGGTAAAGCACTCAGCCCTTCGGAGGAGTGAGGTGCCCAGAACGTGAAACCATAGCGCTGTATAGGAATCACATACTTTTATGGGCATTCTCATGTTGTCATATATGTATCATCTAACTGGGAAGTGTGTCCATTGAGAAATATTATAGCAATCAGTATTATAGTTTTGGGTTATTGTGTCCTATTATGATAGTCATTGCTGTCTTTTATAGAACAGCTGAGTCACTAGTCTAGGGTTGTGGTTCCAACAGGAGTGCACGTAAGAATCTTTGCGGAACTTTATAAAAATACAGAATGCCAGACCTCTACCCCAGATCTGCTGAGCTGGAATCTCTGGGAGCTGGAGCCTGGGAAATTGTAAATTTTACAGCTCCACATACATAAGGAAAGAATATCATTGATGACCTCCAGGGAGGGAAGATGAGAGGGGAACTTTTCACCTTTGTCTTTTTTGAATTTTGTATCCAGATGAATATATTACCTGTTCAAAAACGAAATTATAAAAAAAAAAGCACACTCGAATACTCCATGTTGTTTATGTTTATGTGCATATCTGTGTCGCGGGAGGAAAAGGACAGAAACGTACTTGGGGATGGAGGCGCACTGCTCAAGGGGGTGGGGGCAGATGGAGAGTGACAGTTTGCGTCTATTTGTAGTGTTTTATTCCTTTAAAAAGAAATCTGAAGTAAAATGGCAAAATCTGCTCAAGTTGTTGGTGAGTATGTTGGTATCTGTTATGTTCTTTTCTGTTGGAAAGACTGTATAGTTGAGAACATATAAACATTAAGACATTTAAAATCAAAACAAAGTAAAAACTGTTCCAGATAGCTCTGACGAGCTCCTGGCTAGCTCTCCAGAACACGGCTCTGGATGGGGAATTACGGATTTCCCTCAATAGGGAGGCATAATATGGGGTTTCTGCATTTTCGCGTAGCACAGGGACCCCGAGAAGGGTCTGTGTCGTCCCTGGTGTGCGTTCCCTGTCTGACGTATTTGTTTCTTTACGTTTCAGGTGTTTGTGGCCAGTCCTCACAAAACACAGCCTATTGTGGAGATCCTACTGAAAAATCAACCCAAACTCATTGAGTTTCTGAGCAGCTTCCAAAAGGAAAGGACGGACGATGAGCAGTTCAGCGATGAGAAGAACTACCTGATCAAGCAGATCCGGGACTTGAAGAAAGCTGCCCCCTGACGGTCTCAGCCACCCTCCCGCCACAGTCACCGTCTCATTTGTTCAGTTTGTACAGAAAGTGTCATTTCAGAAAGTCATTGTTCTTGGGAAGGCTTTGGAGGAGGTGCCTGGTTTTTCTCAATTCATTGTTCAGGGTAGATGGAATATAAACATTTGGATGAAAAATGATTAACCTAGAATAATGTATTCATTTGAATCAAGTCTGTGATGATTTATGTGAAATCAGAGCCACTGTACTAGACATGGATAAAAGCAGTTTTCACCCTTGGTTGACCAAAGGCAGCAGGGCCGTGGGCTTGCAGACCCGAGCCCTGGGTCACCACAGGCCCCTGAGCAGAAGCCCAAATGACGGGCGTCCCTGAGCCCTCCAGGTTAAGTTCTCCGAGAACTGGGGGTCGGGGTGAGAGGCCAAAACCATTCCACCTGTCTGTGCCTGGACATACGGATTTCTGACGGCACTGAAAGCTCTGGCGGAACAAGGCCCAGGCTCTCAGTTGTCACACGTCCTTGTTCCCAGCCCGTCTGTTCTGACTGTAACTGAGTCCCTAGGGAGGCGCGACCCTCCACGCATTGCACCGCGCACCGTCCCGCACTCCGTCCCAGCGGCCCTCCTCCGCACCCCACTCTTGGCGCACCCCCTGCGGCCCGGGTAGCCGGGAACCGGCCTGGCCAAAGTAGGACAGGTCAGCAGGGGTCACGGGGACAGAGGGGACCCGCGGGTATGACCTGCTCACTTGAGAACTTGGAACAGATGGTGAAGGACCACAGCTCTAGCAGTAAACACTGCTGTTTCGCTCTGACTCCTGGAGCGTCAGGGAACGATTGGAATATTTCATTCCTAACTGTCATCGTGGGAAAATTCTTTTGTGGTGAAAGTGTGTTTTAGGGTAGGAATCACTGCATTGGGATGCCTTGCGTGTACAAAATCGTGGGTCCAGAGGGTTAGCCCGCGTTTATAAATAAGGGAACATTGCCATTGGAAGGGCAAATGATTAAATGTGTGAAAAACTTCTCAAAGGACTCAAAGTTACCTTTTCACTGTATTTTCTAATTAGCTGCCACTCTAACTTCCCATCAAAGCTTTCAGCGAAAACGTAGAAAAGCTACAAAAATGTGGTCTCAAATATTCTCTTGCATTAAGGACTTAATTGTGTTCTTTAAAAAAAGGCATGAACCAAAAACAACAAAAAAGGTTATGGTTTGTTCTCAGACATCAAATGTACAAAACGAAATTTTAAAGTTATATTTATAAGCCATTAAGGGTATAACAATTAATCTGTATTTTTTCAGAATTCTGTTTCCAAATCGTGAGTTGTGCCCTCCGTAAGGACCCTTACTTTATACAATATTGTGTGCTGTGTTCTTCAACCAGGTATTTCTCCACCAGAGAGGGAAGGATGCCTCTCCAGGGGTCCTTCTCCAGGATCAGTCCCTCTGTAGATTTTGTATCTGAAGAATTACCTGACAGGCCTCCACCCCTCTCGGCAGGGGCCCAGTGTGGACTCCTGAGGCGGATGGAGTGGGCCCTGCGGGACCCCTTGTAGCAGTTCTGGCCAACGCCAGTGTGGAGGGTCAGCCCACAGCCCACTGATGACCTTCATTCTTTACTCACTGAAGTCAGATTATTTTTAATAACGTTTCTTGATAGTCCAGAGTCTCTTAGAATTTGGCTTTTCTCGTTTTGCTTATTTGGCTAGAAGAGAAGACTGTAAATATTTAAAAAAAAGAGAGAAAAGGCTCAGTAACCATTGGACGTTTATTTGGTTGCTAACACTGTTCCACATCTTAGGACACGTTTCCATTTGGAAAGCAAGGCCTTGTTGTAATTCTTTTTTGATAAATAAAGCATTTTATTTCCTCTGGGCTTGAATTAGTTTTTTTTTTTTTAATATTTTATTTACTTATTTGACAGAGAGAGAGAGAGAGCACAAGCAGGGAGAGTGGCAGGCAGAGGGAGAGGGAGATGCAGGCTTCCCACTGAGCAAGGAGCCCAACAGGGGACTTGATCCCAGGACTCTGGGATCATGACCTGAGCTGAAGGCAGACACTTAACTGTCTGAGCCACCCAGGTGCTCCTTGAATTAGTTCTTTGCTAGCAAGTCCTTATTCTAGTTCAGTACCTGTCAAACAGAGAACGGGAGCCTAAAAGGCAATAAATGAAGTAGCTGGGGTTTTGTGTGATACAAATTTGTAAATTATTAACAGGAAAGGGGGGGGAGCCAGACGCTCAGTCAAAATATGTTTGCACAAAATTCACTGTAAATATTGTGAGTCAAAATTTGAGAAGGTCCTATTTAATAAGCTATTTCAAAACACACATTTAAATAAAGACTGAATAAAAAGGTGCCACACACTCTGTGGTCAGTTTCGTTCCTCTGCCATGAGGCTGGTCCGTGTTCCTGTCCCCACTCCAAACAGGGAGTGCCCCGGGAGTGGGGGCCTCTGGGGGGCACTCCAGGCCCCCCAGAGGCCCCACACCATCTTCCCCCCGCACTTGGCTAACTCCACACCCTGGTTGCTGTCCCCTCATCCAAGTGAGGCTGTCACTGCTGGAGCCCCACCTGCCTGGCACCCAATACACACATCACAGCCAGAGGCACTCCCATTTTATATTTGAGGAAACTGAGGCTCTGAACAGTTTAACTCACCCAGACAGCATGGACTACACCTGGGATACAAACCCAGGGTGGCCTAAGGCCCAACTCTGCTCCTCCTCCCTCATCCACCCTCAGGACTGGGAAGGAGGGGAGGTCCAGGGTGTCAGGAAGTACTCTGTGCCCGTCCCCACTGCGGCCCGGGAGGCTCCTGCGGGGTCAGTCCCAGAGTGAGCCGGCAGGCACTGAGATCATGATGTTCTTGGATGAGGCTCTCAGCTAAAGCCAGGCATCGCCCAAATGTTAGGATCACCCCTGGAGAAAAGGCCGAGGGGCACACGGCCCTTGGGCAACCTTTCTCAACTGCCAGCCTCCGTGGGTTCTCATCTTGGCGGCTCTGGGGCAGCATATACACCAGGGAAGAGCAGGTGAGCTTTTGGAAAGCCTCTGTGACTGGCCACACTGGTCTGTGTGATACAAAGCTGCTTGGAGCCATAGTGCAGTCTGGAAATTACACAAGACCTGGAAGGGATTGCAATAATGTAATAGAAATGAAATTGGAAAGTCGCTACAGTTTTTTAATATGAAAAGATAAATGTTTCAAGGTAGATTCACAGATCTTTCTAGTCTACTTATATTAAAGGAAATTAAGATTTTATATCTTCTACTTTTTTTGCTTGTTTGTTTTCTCCAAAACATTATGTTATGTTTGGCATGAAATAGCCAACTTTTCGTTCATGTTCTTTCAGGAAGGTTTTGGATACCGTAGTGGGGCCTGCAGTTGAACAAAGGTCTGAAACCTATAAAGCTAGATTGTGGTCTTCCTAAGAAGACTGAAAAGACTGAAGATGGATGTGAACAAGGACATAGTTTTGTTTTTGAAATATGTAAAGTGCTTGTATGTCACTACCATAACGAAGCAAAGGAAAACAGCATGATCAGCCTGGCTACCACGAGGCCTCCGTGTCCACTTTATGGAGGAGAACACTGAATTACAGAAAGGGTAAGGAACTTGCTCCAGATCAGACAGCCAGCCGCAAAGCCAGGATTTAGGGAGAGGTCTGACTCCAAAGGCCGTATCTTTGGAAACCAGGATGCATACCCAGGCGGCCTCCCTCCCGGCATACCTGCTCTTCAGCTTTCCACCCCAGGAGGGGCAGACCCTTCCCTCATCATGGCCTCCAAAGAAAAGCGAGAATCCTGAATTCCAGAGCTCAAGGATAACTCAGTGGAAAGACTTCAAAAGCTACATTCATTGAAGGAGTTCAGATTTGTTCCGCTTGGTTGTCTCATGTTTGGAAGATCAAATTAGACCTATAGGATAGGGAACTCAAGCTTGAATTTCTCCGCCATTTTGAGCAATCCCTTGACTCTACACCAGTATTCATTTCAGACTGTAATACTGCACCTGCTTTTGTTTTCTTGGCTGGCTTTTTCAGATGGACATAACGTTGGCTTAGATTTCCTGATAGGAGTGGTTGCTGCCCAGCCAGCCATTCTTCCGTCTCACATTCGTCCGTGGCCCAGCGCCACAGGGCTGCCACGAGGCAGCAGTCTGATGGCCGCACATTTGATTCCCGTCAGGATCTCCTAGTCCCTCCCACGGAGGAGGGTGTATGACGACCAACACCGTAAAACAAAGTCACAAAGCCACATAAAAATTCACAACCCCGTTACCATCAATTAATTTTGATTGTAGATTAATCACTGCACTGTGAGCCATCTATGTTACTTTAAAAAACTGTGATCATGGGGGATCTTTCGGGGAACATGTTGGAATACACATTAATTTGTCCGTTAGGGAAGGTTGGAAAACATGAGACCCCTCAATTTTAGTTCCGAAATTTAAAGCCCAAAGCAAGGACGCCTGGGTGGCTCAGTCATGAAGCATCTGCCTTTGGCTCAGGTCATGATCCCAGGTTCCAGGGATCGAGTCCTACATCGGGCTCCCTGCTCCGTGGGGAGTCTGCTTCTCCCTCAGCCTACCGTTCCCCCTGTTTGTGGTCTGACAAATAAAATCTTAAAAAAAAAATAATAAAGCCCAAAGCAACTAAAATATTTATTTATTCAATCACTTGTTTACTCCTTTAACCCAACATCCATTGAACTAACTCTCCATACCTTTAGGGGTCAATCAGGGAAGGACCACAGAGTGACACACCCAGACTGCCAGAGGGATATGACCTTGCACACTGTCCCTGAGTCAGCAGGGAAGGGAAAGCAGACAAAGCGGGAGCCCAGGAGGAAACGGTGGAATCCTCCATCTTCCACAATGCAGCTGACCTCAGGACAGGCCCGCACAGTTCACGGTGGGCCCCTCCAGGCTGAACCCAGACACTGAGAAGCTGAAGAGGGCGGCGCAGGGCGATCTCCCCCACCCCCCCGCAGCAAGGTGAGCTGAAACAGCCCCTGTGCTGACCTTCCTGGTGTAAACACGGCTGCCACTTCGCTTCCCCTTGCAAGTCTGACCACTTTCCCTTGAGAGCAACTCAAATTCATTAGTCCTGGAAACATGATTCGGCTTCACTAAATCGACACATTGCAAAGCCACCACTGGGGGAACTGTTTCCACATCCTCTTACTGTCCTTTCTCTCTCAAAGACCTCTATTTTTCCCTCTTAAATGACAGGAGAGGTTTGCACACAGTGGAACTACACAGGGTGGGGGTG